TTCTGTAAACAAATTGTTGGGTTGATTGTGCTGGGTCAAAATGCTGGGTTGTTTGGGGCACTGTAAACACATTATTGGGTTGCTCATGCTGGGTAAAATGAGTTGTAAGGGGGTAATTCACAAATAAACAGCTGGTTGGGTTATTTTGACCCAGCAACCGGTTTATTCTTTGCGGAACTTTCTGGATTCTTCACTTCTGACTCGAGGAGGACTTCACTCGGAGGTCGGAGCAGGCAGTGTTTTATGGTAAGTTAATATGTTTACCAATATTTTTAACATTAATAATTTCACTGTTCAGCATACAGTCTTTGATATGGAAGTGCGAGGCTATAACGTATTTATTCTGTAAAACATTAGTAACAGCTAGCCGGTTAGATTTTTTGACAAAATGCCACATTGTAAACCAGCTATATCAGCAGCCTTAATGAAATATGTAGTTTAAATTGTAATTTCATCACGTAAATATCGTATTTATTGTGGACGTTTAGTAATTAAAAGTGAGAAAAGCGTTTTGAATGAACCCGTGCACGCGCAGTAGCCTATGTTTATGTCCCTATAGGGCTCGTACGCAAAAACTGCGGGAAAAAAGTCTAGTCTGTGTGGAAACTAAAGTCTGCTGGCACATTTACGAAATTCTCGTCAGAAGAAGCGACGGGGGTAAGTTCCAGCACAGTCTGCGTGTTTCTTCTGTAATGTCTATGTCGGAACCAGGATCGTTTTTACCCAAAAAAATCAAATAATAACTGTATGACGTCTGACCATTGACTGCGTCTGACGTGCAATCTTTACAAACGGCGACTGAGGCAATGAGAAATAAATCGATTTCATATTAAGCATGTTCTCGCCCTGAACCCATTACAAGTTGTTAGGACCTGAGGTAGGCCTACTAAGAATAGTTTAGTAACGTTACTACTAAGACAGTGGTCATGGATCAAGTGTGCGCGATGTTTGAGGCCAATAAATAGTTTGTGCTATTGTCACAACAGCGCCATTTTAAACACCAGGGCAGAAAAGTCAGAAATGCTACTTTAGAAATATGAATTGTTATATACAGCATACTATTTAAATGATAATGCAACTTTATGTATTATGCTCATATTGTTTAGCTGCTGGCTTTGAAGGTCCTGCAAACTCTGCTTCCCCCATCCATCTAAGGTTACAGGAGAGGAGGAAAGGGCTTCAGACCCACCAGAGGCTCAGAGGTCCTTGACATGTTTGATATGCTTGATAACTATGAAATTAATTTAGGTTTAGAATATTTAAAGGTGCATTCTCTGTTTGCAACATAAAATTGCATTTTTAAAGCTGCAGTCCATAACTTTTTTTGTGTTCAAAATTTACAAAATGTTTATAATGAGCGAGTACATCATGAATCCATTTTCCAAATCGTGTTTTTGTCTTATCCTGAATCCCAGACTATTTTAGACTGCTAATTGTCTATTTAGATGTGTAAATATACATTTTGTTTGTTTTTCACATTTGGCCATATTTGGTAATGTTTGCAATAAAAAAAATATAAATACTTTCACAAAAAACGTGCATGTCAGTTATATTGCAACACTCTAAGTGATTGTGTGTAATCAACAGTTGGGGACCAACATGGATGAATATTTACAAAATGACTGGAGCATCAGGGATGTGACGAGGGGGACACGTCAGACCGTTGCCATTGTTCCAGGCCACGTCATCGAGACCGAGTCTTTGCTGGAGGCTGGTGATCTTGGTTTCAAAGTTTTATTTTGTTTTTCATGTTAAATACACGAAGCAGTGTATCAAATTAATGGAAAAGAATCGTCCTCTGTCAAATTTGAGGAAAACCCTGTGATATTTAGTCGTATTGTAAATGTTTGTAGCTATTCTTAATAAATCAACACATCTTAATAAATGAAATCATAATCGTATAAGAGTTCAAATTAGTTTCTTATTGACTTTTAATGGTGCATTGTGTAATACTGTATTTAGGAGGATCTGTTAACAGAAATGCAATATCATATACATAACTATGTTTTCAGTGGTGTATAAAGACCTTACCTAATGAACCGTTATGTTTTTTTACCTTAGAATGAGTATACATTGTATAATTGTAATAATTGTTTACAAAAAATATTAAAGATGTATTAAAAATGTAAAAAAAAAAAAAAAAAAAGATTGAAATCACATATACAGTGGCCTCTCTGGTTTATTGTATTACAGAGACAATCATTATTTAAAAAAATATTTGTTACTAATTTTAATTAGGCAATGATACAGGAAATAACCCAGCACATGAGTAAGACTTAACCCAGCAAGATGGTCGATTTCACCCACTGGTTGGGTCAAATGAATGACCCAACAATATGGGTTAAATGGAAAAACCCAGCACTTGGGTCAAACCAACCCAGCGCGTGTTCTGTCCTATAGTGACCCAGCGGCGTGGTTAAGGTTGGGTTATTTTTTAACCCTGCATTTTTTAGAGTGTAACAAAGACATCTCAAACAATGTCATATTTGCATTAAAAATGTCATAATTGAGCGAATGACACTTAATGACAGTTGTCATAAACATGTCATGCCATGATTATGAAGGTGTCATGTCAGTCTTATGCACACCCCTTCAAGTAAAGTGTTACCGTATTGTGATACTTGGTGCCACAGTGACACTCTTGTCTCAAAAAGTATTGCTATAGCACGATACTCAAGGTGTTGTCCTGCGGCGAGTCGTTCCCCTGTTGCTCTACTCAAAGCTGAAGGGTTCCCGCCCGCCAAACACACTGTGCTCTCAGAAGTGGAGTTTGCAGGAGCCGGTTTAAAGTCGACATGAAGGGAAGTTACACTCGTCTTTTCCTCCCTGTTGTGATGTATATCTGTGTGAAACGCAGGGCTAATGACTCAACGTGCCCCGCAACCATTCAGCGAACTTATTATTAAGAGTAAAAGACATGCATGGATTCATGCATTCTATAACGAGACGTCTTCAGCCTTAAACTATTTAAACAGTCTTTGGTACACTTCAATATGCTACAGACATACATGTATCGCTATTAGGAATGTATAGTTTTTATTATTATTGTGTTGTTTGTGGAATTGAAGATCTTTAGTAGGCGTAATGTATTTTTGGTGTAAAGGGTTTTGGTGTATTTTTAGACTGGACTATCTTGTGTTTTGGTGTTGTTTTAACCCTCTGGGGACGGATTGGGCGGTACCGCCCAAAATGGCATAGGCTACTTTTACAAATGTGTAATTATCTTAAAAACTATTAGTGATAGAGAGGTGCGGTCTTTTTTACTGTCTTCCTCAGATTCCGCTGAAAACAGTGATAACTCACCCGGCTTGTAAATATACACACTTCCTTGTTGCGCAATACCACTATGTAAAAGGCCAATGAAATCGATGTTGTTTGGCAGATTGCGCGAACAACAACCAATGGAAAAATTGCCGATGGAGAAATATTTTTCTTACCCAATCAGAGGAAGGTTACCATGACGTTTCTAGCAAATCAGAGGACTCTGTAGCCTTGCAAGGGGTGGTACTATACAGTTAGGGATATGACGCAAACAGCGTTGAATGGAGAGAAGGAGAGAGAGCGAACGGAGGCTTACGGAGCGGATTAGCAGAGAAATATGAGAGCGAGACAGAACAATTATAATATATATATATATATATATATATATACACATACAATTATAGCATTATTTATTGTTTTAGCACTTTTATGATGGCAAGCAGTAAACGATTTACGGTGGAACAAGCTCTGGACAATTACTGGAGAGTGACAAGGAGAAAAGCATTGATTAGAAAATTCTAAGCATTCCTAAGAAAAACGCCTAGGACTATTTGTAAATAAAGTTACATTTTTCATTGTTCTTTACACATTTTATTTAACAATTACACATATCTGTCAAGCAAAGGGTTTGAAAAATATATTTTTTGTTCAAAAACTGTTCACTATTGTTGTGTGATGTGTGATTTTCAGAAATAAATGACAAAAATATAATTTCCGTTTTTGAAATTCTCTAGTTTATAGTACATTTTTCACTCATACTTCCTTTATAAACACATTGCATGCATGCTTATGTTAGCTTAGGGTCTTCTGAATCCATAAATACCAAACACATAGTGTTCCATCTCCATTACATATGGTTTATAAGCCCAAATGTAAAAATAGAGAAAACGGACCAAAAAGGGCTTAGTCCCCAGAGGGTTAATACAAAACATGGGCCATTTCAGTCATAATAAATACAAGTTGTCTATATAAACAGAGGAAGTTATTCTGATTCAACATTACCAAGAACATGAATTTAAAAGAATAATGATAAATCATTTATCATAAACACTGCAATATTCTGTTAAAAAAAATTAATTTATCAGTTGATTTTTATATGATTGATTTTAAGAGGATGTTTAAAAAAGGTCAAAATAAATATAGCCTATATTTTTAATGAACAAACAAATGCATGAATCGTTGACAATAATATCTATAGCATGCATTTAGAAAATACATAGAAAGAATTTTCATTTCATGCTGAATCTAACATTTTCAAAAATCAATATTTAGCAAAATATGCAGTTATTTACTTCTTATTTATCGTGGAAAACAACAGAGAAAAGTTTGAAGATAACCTCTGAGCAAACTGATGACAGTGAAGGAGGAGGTTATCAAACTCATCTGACTGTTTCATTACACGTGTTCTGAAGAACAGTTCAATTACGAGGATCACGACAACATTTACAGAAATATTCTGCGTTGAGTCGGTACTTCTGACATAATGTTGTTAATTTCAGCTACAAAAAAATATATGAATGTACTCAGTGTTTCAAAGGCTATAGCCACATGCCATAAACACATGTCAACATGCTTCTAGTGTGAGAAAGCTCGCTAGTGATCGCTTAGTTTCCATATCTCTATAGTAATATACGATTTTTAGAACTTCGTCGCTATGACAAACGTATAGTTTTGTCGGATTTATCATAATAATTAAAAACAGGTAAAAATGAAAAAGCTAATTTAGGTGCAGAACTTACCAGTGACATGAACAGGAATCTTTCGCGGTGTGTGTGTGAAATGCATTGTGAGATAAAGAGAGGCTGACACACTGACACACACACACACACACACACACACACACACACACACACACACACACACTCACTCACCTGATCAGGCCTGTTTATCACGGAAGTGCACGAGCAACCTTAAAGGTACAGAGCACTTTATGTTTGGTCAGGGGTTTCAATCTGGGTCTGTAAATACGGCAAAATAACAACAAACTGCTAAATAAAATAAATAAATAAAGATTAAAATAAGTAAATAAATAAATAAATTATAAAATGAAATAAAATAAATAAATGAAAAAAGATTAAGACTATTAGATAGTTATTGATCTATTAAATACATTAAATTAGATTAACATAAATGACGATTTGGATGAATATAAGTAAATACAAATTAGATTTTTACTCATTTTAGATTATTAATACGCACTGCAAACGGAGTAGCCTAGTGTGAAGCGTGCAATCGCTTTCTCCTTAGACATTTGTAATAAACGTATAGGCTAATCTTTTTAGCTTATTATTTTCAAGCAATAACATTTAACATACGAAAGAAAGTCGCCTCAGCAATATCTATAAACATGGATTTTTAATAAATAGTCCTTATTCAGTAAACACGAATGACCATGATTGGTCTGTACAAACTCAAAGTAAAGAAAAGTAACATGTAACACATGACACAGAGTCACTTCTGCACAGTAATGTACTCCCTAATAACAGCAAGAAATGACAAATAACATTAAGAAACAGTGACGTTCAAATACACAATCAGAGAACGTGTTGTAAACTAATCGCACCTGACTGACAGTGTCCAGACTAGAATCAGTAGCGCGTGATGTCCGCTAGATGGCAGCACGTGATCAAACACGGGGTTATAATCTTAACATATGATCACAGGGTAAATCATGACGTCACTGATTTCATCAAACACGAGAGATATGATCATGACATCACTGATTTCATCAAACACCCGTTCAACCACTACATCCTCAAACCAGTGCTGGAAGAAAAGAGATTTGTTTTTATACAGAATATCATAAGAGAAGTTTCCTTTCGAATAGCCCATCGTGTATATCCCGTTAATAACGTCTTAAAGAAATTCAGAAAAGATATGAACACTTTTGTGAACAGCACACAGAGATATAGTGTGTTTATCTTGGCTCTGCCTGTAAATTAGTTACTGTAGATTTGTTACTGAGAACATTATAAGGATTTTTCTCTACTTTGGGAAAATGTTTTGTTTGGACTTGCTAACTGGAAAAACAGCAATTACACAAAACAAAATTTTCTTACTTAATATTCTTTTTTTGTTAAAAAAATTGTATATATACATAAATGTACATGTTCAGGTCAGAAACCACTTTTCTATGTTTTGTTTCCTGAAGTACAACATTATGACGGTTTCTGACTCGTGTAACAAGAAGGCTTTAAAAACTATTGAATATGAAAGTCTTTTAATCTTTTCCTTTGATATGTAATCTTTTCTGATTAGTTATACCCTGTCTGTCTCGTGTCTTTTTCCTTTTTTCCCCCCTCGCTTATTTGTTCCACATTGTGACTGTTTCCTTCTTTGTTTATATAATGTTCTCAATTAAATATAAAAAACCCATGAGCTTCTGATATTGAAAAAGTTGCTATTGCTATACATTTAAAAGGTCAATTTAATAAAATAATTTGAGAGAGAGAGAAAAATCATGTAATAATGTAAACAAATGTTTGATCTTGTAAGCTAATGCAATGAGACTCTGAGACTTAAGTGTCCAAATCATTTTTTGGAACAGTTGTGTATGAATATGTGAATATCTGAACTACTGATCTCCATATGTGTTTATTACTTATTTAAGAAAGTTCGGTTACACTTTATTTTAATATGTCCCTGTTACAGTGTAATTATATATTTAAGTATGAGTAATATTAAGTTATTACATGAAATTAGGATTAGGGTTTGGTTTAGGTTAGTTGCATGTAATTATGCATAATTTATAGTTATTACAATAGTAAATACATGTAACGTGTAACAAGGACACGTTAAGGACGAAAGTTCTTATGAAATGAGGCTCCTGGAGACTCTCTGAGACTGAAGTGTCCAGATTATTTTTGGAACATTTGTGTATGAATATTTGAATGTATCTGAACTACTTCAGGGTTTATGTGTTTATTACTTATCTACAAGTTCTTATGAAATGGAAATGGAGCAGGGCGTGTACAGTGGGCGTGGCCGTTGGGCGGCGCTGGGAAATAATGCTCGACTCTGATTGGCTGTTTGGGCCGGTGGGCCGTGCTGGGATGCGAAGCTGCGCTCTGATTGGCTGTTCGGGCGGTGCGCGTGTCTCATCTTATCCGCGAGTGCGGCAGCAGCGCAGCCCTGCGTCACGACACACACACACACACACACACATACACAGAGAGTCCAGAAATAACTTTACCTGGCGAGTTTCCGTCACTCGTCGGGCGCGAGGAGGGTTTATCGAGGCACCAGCTCTAAATGGCGAGTCGAGGTTTGGATGAAGGACGGCATCTTCCTCTGCAGGATCATCATCACCACCATCACCATCATCATCATCACACCGAACCTGCTGTGCGCGAGGCGCAGAGATGGATAGAGGTGCGTGACGTCATGCCACTGCGTTATTCGGGAATACAGTGTGTGTGTGTGTGTGTGTGTGTGTGTGTGTGTGTGTGTGTGTGTGTGTGTGTGTGTGTGTGTGTGAATGAATGATGCGCGTGCTGGAGCTGTGTCAGGTTTAACACGTGTGTGTGTGTGTGTGTGTGTGTGCTACTTGTGTCACCTGTTGACACAAATTAGCTGAAGGATCCTGAAGGAATGTTAATGGAATTGTTACCCTGTAGGAACCAGTCGTAATGGGATCAAACCAGAATCCTATAAGGATCCAATAAGATCTTACTCCAGTAATCCAGCACTGCTTCTGGATCAGTTCATCTCTGAATCATTAGTTCAGCTGGAATAGTAAATGCACAGATTGTTGGGTTATAATTGTATTGACATGATTTGACTTGTTGAAGTAAATTCGAGGTTTGTCAAAAATATCCTAAAGGAATATGAGTGGGATTTCTTTCATTATTCAGAATCTCTCCTTGTGCAGGAATGATCAGGCCATCAGGATCAGGTAAGATCTGAATCAACGGAGATTCCTCTCTTATTTATCCCAGGGAATTCTCAGAATTTATCCAGTTGGATTCTGTTCGCATTCCTCTAGGATTTTGGAGAAGGGCTTGTGTACAGATTCCTTGCTTTCGCAGGGTTTTTAGACCTCAGAGTTTGGGATTTAAAGTCACGATGAGACGGAAGAAGCAACAGATCTTTTCTTCCATATTGTGGCCTACGGCAAAGTGGAATGGATTATGGAAAGACATATTATAAAAGACTATATTGGTTGTTGATTGGATGGAGGCAGATCTGAATGAAAGCTTGCGGTCGATTGTGAGAAAGCGGCGGATTTAAATGTTTGGGGAACTGGAACATTAAGTTATGATATTTTGACTAAGAATCACAAGACCAATATATATATATATATATATATAATGAAGCAAATGCATGAATGAATTGTTCACAATAAGATCATTAGCATACATTATGAAAATAAGTGAATCTTCATGTCATGCAGAGTTTATTGTGTGGCATTGTTTATGTCTTTACCATTGCACAAATGCACGGCTCACACACACACACACACACACACACTTTTCTCATTGCATTGGTTGGATTTCTTTAGGGACACGAGTAGCATACACGACCCAACTGAAGCAGTCTTATGAATCATAAATGCCCATTCACCTTCAATTTGTCCCATTTTGTACAAAACAAAAGCATTTCAATCCAAACTTCCTGATTAAACTTTAAAGTACACTAGTGTGATAAACGGTGTATTTTTTCCAGATGTTGTTTAATATTTGCTAAATTATTCACAAATAATGTTTTTTTTTCACTCAAAAACTGCGGTGCATAAGCTCAGATCCATGAGGCCTACGATTAATCTGTTTGAAAAAGAAATATAAAACCAGTCCTAATTGACAGAAAACAAGTAAAAAAAAAAAAGAAAAAAAAGATTGAACCCAATATTTGGTGATAATATAGCATTACTAGTGACTTATTAACTATTTTATGTAGGCCAGTCATTTTTGACCGGGATGACCACAAGTGTAACAAAAACAAAACAAAAAAAGGGACAATAATAACATTTTTTGTTAAGAAAATAAATAATTTGTAAATAATAAGTTGTTATAGTCTGTGTGAACAAAGTCTGTAAGTTTCAGTCCAATGCATTAACATTAACTAGTCTATTTGTGTAAAAAAAAATTATCTTCGGGTCAAAATGAGCTGAACACAACACGAGGGTTAAACATGTCCTGGTTCTTCACACTTGCCTCTTGCGTTGTGCATGTTTCCCAGGTTGACTCGCAGTGGTCCACTCAAACTCAGAGCCAGATGCCCTGAATAACTGTTTATTGAAAAGCACATGGCTCAGCTAGAGGCTTTTGTGAGCGCGGTGTGTCTTTTGTGTCCATTGTGTGTGTCTGCTGTGAAACTGGAGTGTTTTTACAGCGCAGGGACCAGGTGCGTCTCATTTCATTTTTCTGGAGCAAAAGTAAACAGATGATCCACGAGTTGTTTCATGCGTCCGAGTTGTTTTATCATGGATCTGACTGACACTGTGCTCTATAGTGCCAGATCAACGTTGGCATGCGTTCATTTCCCCAAAACCACATGCATGTTTGTTTTTCTTTGTGGACTGATGACATCTGATGTTACATGATTTAAATGAGTCTGAGAAAGGCTGTTTTGGGTGGTTGCTAAGGTGTTATAAGAGGTTGCTAGGGCGTTGCTGAAGTGTTGCTGAAATAACAGTGTAATAGTTCTCTGAAACAAAACTAGGCATCAAATTTCAATACTTAACTCTTATCCCAGCCAGCGTAAAAAAAAAGAAAAAGTTTTCAGCCAGCACCAGTATTTTTGATAATTTTTACAAAACTTTCATGGCCCCCAGAATATTTTGTTGTATGAATATCTACAATATATCAAAAGAAAGAACAGAGCCTTTGCTTTCAAACAAACAAACCTTTTATCCTATCATCATGTGTTCTTTTTTATCAACACTTTAAAACACTTATAAAAAAAGCAACATTTTGAGCAAAAAGCTGAGAAAATGGTGTTTTTGTCATAAATGAGTGCAGTTTTTTCCTCCGTGCTTTAACGTATTTCTGACCGAAAGTCAGGGCGGGACCTATCACAGATATGTAAAGGTGTTTATTATGTCATAGCCTCTGGGGAAGTAGTATTTAGGGACTTCAGAGAGCTTTCATGCAGACTTCATTTAATATTGTTAGTATAACTTGTGTGTTGACCAAAGTGCTTTACAATGAATAAAACAATCACAATTAATTGAGAGGGAACTAGATAGAGAAATAAAAACAAAATGAACAAACATTAGGCAGTCAAAAATATACAAGAGAGACCCAAAATAACGTGCTAAAGGCCAAGGTCACAGGATCTTAATGGGAATACGGGAGCAATAAATCAGGTAAGTAGTAAGGTGGCAGGTTATTGAGGGCTTTGTAGACTAATAATACTGGTTTAAAGTCAGTCCTGCACTTGACAGGGAGCCAGTGCAGAGAGCTTAACACAGGTGTAATGTGGTCATATGTGCTCTTCTCCTAGATCAGTCTAGCAGCTGCAGATGAGAAATGAAGCCTGGGAGACGCCATAATACAGCGAGTTACAGTAATCGAGCCGAGATGTTACAAAGGCATGGACTGCTGTTTCAAAAGCTTGTGAATAAAAAGGGCTTTACTTTATTAAGAATGCGAAGCATGGCTTGACGACAGCAGTGATCTGTTTATCAAACTTTAAGCTGCAGTCAAATATGATGCCCAAATTCCTGACACACTGCGTAGGTCAAAATGCTTGAAAGCCTTAGTGTAAGTTCGTTCAAGACATATAACACCGACTGAAGAGAGTGATTATTGCTACGCTGTAAGGGAAGATGGATTTGGTTATATAGATAAAAAGCCATGCCATGTTTATTAAAAATAGAGGCCTGGGGAGCATATAAAGGGAAAACAAGAGCGGTCCAAGAACCGAGCCCTGCAGAACACCACAACCCAGAGGTGTGTGTGAAGATGAGCGATGCCGCAGATGAACACTAAACCATCTATTTGACAAATAAGAGAGAAAGCACTGTCATATAGTTCCACAAAGTCCCACACAACCCTCTAGGAGTCGTAGAGAATGTCGTCGTCAACCACATCAAATGCAGTTTAGATCTAAAAGGACTTGAGCCATTGATAAGCTTTAGATTAGAGATGGTCAGGTCAACATTTTGTGCGCATTTAAGATGTTCGTGTGTGTTCAAGTGCATTATGGCACATCTCACTGAACACAGAGTCATTTTACCAATAGAAGTTGTTATAATAGGCCTGATGAGCTCCTATAATGCAGTACCATCTGTTCTGCTAACATGCATGTGGACGATCTCAGTGATTCATCTTGAGCTGCATGATCACTATTGCATATCCAGACTGATGAGAAATAAATAAATAAAGAAGCTGTTAGAGCTGGCTTGTCTTTCATCAGTGTTGTGGAAAGTTTCATTTAAAAGTAATGCATTGCAATATTGCGGTTTCCCCCCAAAAAAGTAACAAGGTAACACATTTCTCCTGTACAGTAGAGGTAGAGTACAGTAGAGGTAGAGTACAGTAGAGTACAGTATAGTACAGTAGAGTACAGTATAGGTAGAGTGCAGTACAGTAGAGGTAGAGCACAGTAGAGTACAGTATAGTACAGTAGAGTACAGTATAGGTAGAGTGCAGTACATTGGAGTACATTGTATGAAGAGTACAGTATAGCACATTAGAGTACAGTAGAGGTAGAGGACAGTAGGGTACAGTAGAGGTAGAGTACAGTAGAGTACAGTACAGTACATGCAGAGTACAGTAAAGTACAGTAGAGATAGAGTACAGTAGAATACAGTAGCGGTAGAGTACAGTAGAAGTAGAGTACAGTAGAGCACAATAGAAGTTGAGTACAGTAGAAGCAGAGTACAATAGAGCACAGTAGAGTACAGTAGAGGTAGAGTACAGTAGAGTAGAGTACAGTAGAGCACAATCGAAGTTGAGTACAGTAGAAGTAGAGTACAATAGAGCACAGTAGAGGTAGAGTACAGTAGAGCACAATCGAAGTTGAGTACAGTAGAAGTAGAGTACAATAGAGCACAGTAGAGTACAGGAGAGGTAGAGTACAGTAGAGGTAGAGTACAGTAGAGCACAATCGAAGTTGAGTACAGTAGAAGTAGAGTACAATAGAGCACAGTAGAGTACAGTAGTGTACAGTAGAGGTAGTGTACAGTAGAGGTAGAGTACAGTAGAGGTAGAGCACAGTAGAGGTAGAGCACAGTATAGTACAGTAGATGTTACAACCCCGGCTCCAGGGATGCAACATAAAGGACACAAAGACAGAAGTCTGCCAATTAAAACAAAGTTTATTTAATATAAAAAGGAAAAAGGGGACTGTAGAAGCAAAACACAGCTACTGCTCTGCCGGCTGCAAGACGAGAGAGAGAGAGCAAGAGCATGCGTCCTAGATTTAAGTAGCTCCTGTCAGGTGACACCAATTAACCGGTTGATTGCAGCAGGTGATCTACCAGGGAAACTGCAATGACATACAGATTAGAACACTCACACATAACAGTAGAGTACAGTAGAGGTAGAGCACAGTACATTAGAGTACATTATATGCAGAGGACAGTAGAGTACAGTAGAGGTAGAGTACAGTATAGTACAGTATAGTACAGTAGAGTAGAGTACAGTAGAGGTAGAGCACAGTAGAGGTAGAGTGCAGCAGAGTACAGCATAGTACAGTAGAGGTAGAGTACAGTAGAGTACAGTAGAGGTAGAGTACAGTAGAGTACAGTAGAGGTAGAGTGCAGCAGAGTACAGCATAGTACAGTAGAGGTACAGTAGAGTACAGTAGAGGTAGAGTGCAGCATAGTACAGCATAGTACAGTAGAGGTAGAGTACAGTAGAGTACAGTAGAGGTAGAGTACAGTAGAGTACAGTAGAGGTAGAGTACAGTAGAGGTAGAGTACAGTAGAGGTAGAGCACAGTAGATGTAGAGTACAGTAGAGGTAGAGTGCAGCAGAGTACAGCATAGTACAGTAGAGGTAGAGTACAGTAGAGGTACAGTAGAGTACAGTAGAGGTAGAGTACAGTAGAGTACAGTAGAGGTAGAGTACAGTAGAGTACAGTAGAGGTAGAGTGCAGCAGAGTACAGCATAGTACAGTAGAGGTACAGTAGAGTACAGTAGAGGTAGAGTACAGCATAGCACAGTAGAGGTAGAGTACAGTAGAGTACAGTAGAGGTAGAGTACAGTAGAGTACAGTAGAGGTAGAGTGCAGCAGAGTACAGCATAGTACAGTAGAGGTACAGTAGAGGTAGAGTATAGTACAGTAGAGTAGAGGTAGAGTGCAGCAGAGTACAGCATAGTACAGTAGAGGTACAGTAGAGTACAGTAGAGGTAGAGTGCAGCGGAGTACAGCATAGTACAGTAGAGGTACAGTAGAGTACAGTAGAGGTAGAGTACAGCATAGTACAGTAGAGGTAGAGTACAGTAGAGTACAGTAGAGGTAGAGTACAGTACAGTAGAGTAGAGGTAGAGTGCAGCAGAGTACAGCATAGTACAGTAGAGGTACAGTAGAGTACAGTAGAGGTAGAGTGCAGCGGAGTACAGCATAGTACAGTAGAGGTAGAGTACAGTAGAGGCAGAGTACAGTAGAGGTAGAGTACAGTAGAGTACAGTAGAGGTAGAGTACAGTAGAGGTACAGTAGAGTACAGTAGAGGTAGAGTACAGTAGAGGTACAGTAGAGTACAGTAGAGGTAGAGTACAGTAGAGGTAGAGTACAGTAGAGGTAGAGTGCAGCAGAGTACAGCATAGTACAGTAGAGTACAGTAGAGGTAGAGTACAGTACAGTAGAGTACAGTAGAGGTGTAGTACAGTAGAGTACAGTAGAGTACAGTAGAGGTAGAGTACAGTAGAGTACAGTACAGTAGAGGGCGCCGCTTAAACAAACATTTCAGCTTCTAGGATGCAGGAGAAGGAAGTTTAACACTTTTATTTATAAATCTAATCTTAAGTAATTTTTGCTTATTAGTATGTTTGAATTAGATCGTTGAAGGTCAGCAGCAAAGACATTGGTTAATAAAGTGAGATTAAATACATACAGTATATTTGTGTAATTTACTATTGTTCATTACAAAAGTTTTGCGTAAAATTCTGAGATAGCATTTTACTGTTTATATTCATTTTGAGGAATACTGAATGTTTTCGTGCAATTGAGACGAGTAAATTCATGTTCACATTTAGTCTATTAATAAAATAACCATCATGTTTATACACAACAGCTCCTCACTTTATTTCTCTCAACTTGGGGACAGGAGAGCTGTCAGTCAATAAATGTGAAAAAGTAACTAGCTTTACTTATTTGAAAAAGTAACTTAGATATTTTGTTGTAAATTGAAAAAGGAATGTGTTACTGTAAAGTTCAGCAACTGGAGTGCACTTGAGAGCCACCAGAGGGCACTCCACATCAGACTATTGTATTCCCTCACAAACTACATCTCCCATAACTCACTGCCCGGACTCTTCATCCATTATCACATTCACCTGTGTCTCATTATCTTGTTTAGCTCATCCCATATAAGCCTGGATTTCTCATTCATTATCTGCGAAGTCTTGTTTAGTGTTACACTGCAATTCTGAGCATTCTCCCTGGTTTCATGTCTCTTGGTTTCGGATTTCTTGCCTGTTCTGTGGATTACTCTTGTTCCTGTGTTCCCTGCCTTGTTGTGTTTGTTTGTATGGACTGCCGGCCTGTGCTTGACCCTACCTGTACTTTGGATTACGTTTTTGGATTGCCCTGTTCAATAAATACTGGATTTTGATCCTCAACCTTCTTGTCTTCGAGCAATTCATGACAGTTACGTTAGTTACTTGAAAAAGTAATCTGATTACGTAACTCAAGTTACTTGTAATTAGTAGGAGTGTAAATATTAATCGATTCGTATCGATGCATCGATTATACAGCCGACGATTCGATGCATCGATGCGTCCGCAAGAGTATCGATTAATGTGTTTGTTTTGCCGCCTGTCTATTTTCAGCATCCGCTCATATGCATACAAACGATTGTTGTTATGCACTGGGCTAACGTTAGTTAGTCACCGAACTAAACTGCCAGTGTGAATGCACCCTCAGTCACTTAGTTGGCGAATTCCAAGCTAGCAGTTACTAACGTAAACAAACAGGCGCTAACGTGTAAAAAAGGCTACTTCAACAGCTTACTTGAAAAGTCTAGGGTGCTTTCACACCAACTCGGAACGGAACGGGCACGGTTCGCATGAAAAATCGCTAATTATGTAAACGCTGTCTGTCATGCGGACCCGGGTGCGCACTGGGGTACCAAACCCGAGACTGCCTGGAGGAGGTGCGCTGAGTTTGGTTGCACTCGAACCGTGCCGCGGCTCGCGTGAATGTGAATGTGAAAGCATCACGGACTCGGGTACGCACTTGTTCAGGAAGTAAGTAAGTGACCTGCGCATGCTTTTTAGCTGATTATGATGTATTTAGTTAAATAAAACACATGTAAGGGATGATAGTGTTGATAATTTACCTTGGATAAGAGCGAGAGTGAGTCTGTATTCGCACACACATAGCGCGTGGACTCAGGGCAACAAATTAATGGAAATCCACTGTCTCCTGCGTTTGCAATCAGCAAAAAGCCAAATGCGACACACAGTAAACCGGTGTTGTTCACTCAGCTGTGCATAATAGCACCAAAAAAACAAACACAATATATTGACCGCGTTCTGTTTTCTATCATGCATCGTGCACGTTTGCGATGACATAAGATGCACGGAAACGCACCAGGATTCGATAGAATCAAGTTTAGAACTGTATGCATTAACTGTTATATTTGCTGTTCTATTTGCAGTGCATTGAGCACAACATACACATTATGTGAATAGAATACTGTTCCTGTATTCTCAATAAAAGGCAAATTATAAAAAATGTTGTTGATTTATTTGAAACTTAATAGACATCGTGTAAAAATATCGATTATTGAATCGTATCGAATCGAATCGTATTGTGGGGAATTCTGAAGTATCGAAAATAATCGAATCGTTGGCTTAAGAAATCGGTATCGTATCGAATCGTCATGTAGGCTCCGATTTACACCCCTAGTAATTAGGGGTGGGCGATATGGAAAAAATATCATATCACGATTTTTTCAGGAAAAATCACGATTAACGATTTTATCACGATTCTTTTTCATGTTGCTTTTTAAGACTATTTTGCAAATCACTGAGCCGCAATACAAGCAAACTTATATCCCCATTTAAAAAATATAGCCATACAAGGTAACAAAACATTTAAAAAAAAAAGACAAAGTAGCATATTTTAATCAAGTGTATGTTTAATGGAAGTGCAATTGTGCAAAGTAAGAACAGTCAACAGGACTTGCATTACAATCAGACTTCTCATCACAAAATGAATAGTGTTTAAAAAAAAGAAATTAAACATTGGCAACAGCTGTAACAGTCAGTAGACTGACCCTGAGCAAAACCCATGGCAGCATGTTTTTATCTTTCTATTTTTTTGAGGTAGCATCTTGAGGTAGCATCTAGCATGAAAAATATAGATAAACAGATGCATCAAAAACAATTAAGTAAGCTTAAAAAGTTAAATAAAAATGTTTAAATAAAAAAATATTAACTAGTTATAAATTAAGTACAGTCAGAGACTATAGGATAAATCCCCAAATAAAGATTTGCTTCAAAAGGTAAAACAACACAATAAATAGTGCAATGTGATTCAGGAACCAAACAATTAACCAAAGGTGCAAACATATTTCTGAATCCTGCTGACTCTTTTAAACTTAGCAGCTTTAGAACAAACCTTTCAAATTCCTACAAAGTATATATCCTAAGAACGTAAAGTATGACTGATCCCAATCACAAATTTTTAGAGAGGAAAACCAGTTGATTGACTTTATCTGGCTTGAGAGTTGCCCTCTGGCATGTGACAATATTGCCACCAGTGCTAAAAGCTCTTTCTGAGGGAGCACTTGTGGCCGGAATGCACAAGTACTTTTTAGCAAGTTGGCTAACTCTTGGAAAGTTTGCCTCATGGACTTTCCACCATTCCAAGGGATTCACCTCACTTTCTGCATTTGGTATGGACACGTATCCCTTCAGTTCCCCTTCTATTGCCTCTTTTAGAGAAAATGAAGTTGATCCTGAAACTGCAGCAGATGCACTTGCACCACCTGAGGTTTTCAAAAAGCTGGCAAGTGATTTCTTTACTTTCTTGTGTGGGGTTTGTTCTGCGTCAGGGCTCTGTGATGTGGAGGCAGATGTACACTGTTGAACCGATGCTGCTTGATACTGTGCGGTCAGCAAAGACTCCAGCTCAGATACAGCTCTGGCTTGTATTCCCTCTATCTTGTCGCTGGCAATGTATTGGGTTTTGAACCTGGGATCAAGAAGCGAAGCCATATCCAACAGGTCATCAGTGGTGGGATCCTGATATTTGTCAGTGAGGTAATTGAGAATTGTTTGCTTCATTGTTTTTGTTAGTTCAGTGTCCTCATCATTCAGGCTCAAGATGTTGACTTTCAACAGGTAAAGCACTGGCTTTACGTAGGACACACTCACATAGTCCTCACCGGAGAGTGCATCAGTGAAGTCTTTCAGTGGACTCAGTGCTTTTTTCACAGACTCCATCACGTCAATGTCTTGCCATGATGGGACCAAATGCCTCGCCTTCCGGTCTGCCTTCAGGACCTGCGAAATGGCCTTTTCCTGGTCAAGCACTCTCTCAATCATGTTGAGTCTGGAACCCCATCGTGTAGGGGATTCAGCGATGAGTTTATGTTGAGGGAGTTTCAGCTCTGTTTGAGCTTTAATTAATTCCCTCTTTTTCTTCCAACTGAAAGAGAATGTATGACGACTTTCTTGCAGATAGATGTCATGCGTTCAACACGAGGGTCTTTGGCACTTTTTTCTATAAACCCCCCCCCCCCCCACAAAAAAACATTCATTGATTAGATTTATTTACATTTTAATTAACACAGGTTTATATTTTTCAATTGTAATATTTTATTGAAACCAAACAAATAATGCTACAATACCATATGTTTTTCATATACGAAACATTTAAATATAATAATCCAATTTATATAGTAAACTAGTCTTATCATTTTACTCTGTTCAGTGTTCCTAATCTACCCTTATTAGTAAATATACAAACAAACTTCTAAATGCCAGTGACAATATTTTATTTTTAGTTTCACTCACCAATAGCTAGGTGAAGTCTGTGCCCAAAGCACTGCAGACGTGTCCAACTGTTGAGCTCCAAGGCCCTCACCATGTTAGCTCCACTGTCAGTGGTCATGCAGGTCATGTTTGCTTCTTTCAGTCCCCAACATTCAAGTGCTTCCTTTAGGCCTTGTGCTATGAGCTCTCCAGTGTGGTCTTGTGGGAAGTATGTTGTTTCTAGACACGCACTGCACAACTTCCAATCATCAATGAAATGAATTGTCAGACTTAAATATGGTTCTGAAGTGCGGCTAGACCATAAACCAGCTGTTGTGGCAAAAAAAAAAATGCATTTTTAACTTTGTGTTCCATCTTGTTGCGGCATTCGGAATACAGCCGTGGAATGGCCGTGGCAGAAAAATATTTGCGGCTGGGAATCTCGTAACGCGGATCTACAACTTTGAGCAGTCTTTTGAAGCCCTTGTTTTCCACAGTATTTATGGGGATCATATCCTTGGCCAGGTAAAATGTCACTGCATCAGTTACATCTTTCCAGCGCTTACTTGTTCTGTCATATGGAGTTCCCTTCTCGAATACCTCCTTCATTAGAGTTGTTTGTTTAAGCCGTGTAACGTTAGCCTCTGGCTGCTGCGTGGATGTACCTGATGGACTCGCGTGGGGTCCCTTCATAATTTGACTGTCAGCATATTCTTTATGGTGTTTTCTCTTGAGGTGGTTAAAAAGATTAGGAGTGTTGCCGTCTGACGTGCGAATCTTATCATTGCAACATTTGCAAATAACGGTCGTTTGCGCCGTGTCTGTTATAGAAAATCCAAACCATTTCCATATTATCGATGTTGAATTTTTTTTAGGGATCAACTCCTCTGTGTTTTCATCCATCGTCCTTGCGTTGTTTAATTTCACGAGCAAGTCGTTTATGATCCTGTTAGCACGCTGACATCTAACGTTAGTGCGCCGCGCCCGCGCATCGCATGTATGGCTACGTAGCTGAAAAAAAGCCATAGATCTGCATCTGATAGAACGCGCATTGGAGCGCGATTGTACGATATTTCCGAAAAAGTGAATCGTGGAGACATTTTAATCGTCCACGATTAAATATCGTCATATCGCACACCCCTACTTGTAATGAGTTTCCCCCAACACTGCCTTTCATTTGTTAGTTAACTTAATAAGCTTGGGTGTGCAGACATGCACGTGTCGACGCGGGCCCGTCCTGAAGAGGGTCACTGCATGTGTGTGTCTCTTCACTGAGTGTGTGATGCCACTCGGAGGGGCGGGACTTTGCAGGAATGGATGAGACGTTCCCTGGAGCTGTTTTGGAAAACGAGAGAGGTTTGTTCAGTATTTATGGCATTGTCTGTCGTGATCCTCTCGGATGGTTTGGCTAGGTCTGTATTTGTGGATATGTGCCCTACGGTAGATTTGCCTTGAAAACCCCAAATGGATTAGTCGATCAAGCAGTTAAATGGAAATAATAGGACACATAAAGTGGCAGAGATCAAATATTGTAACTTAGATTGAAGATATTTCACAGTAATTTACTCACTGTCGTTCCAAAGTTGTACTACTCTCTATAGTTTATGGCCTATGGTCTACAGTAATCGTCTCCAACCGTTCTCTATTTTACTACAAAAGTGGATGGTGATTTATATTGTCAAGCACTGTGAAATTAGCATAAAAGTTGTCCTCACCAGTTTTGCACTCTGAGATTTGACATTGGCATCAAACCTGGTGTGATGTGTTCTGGCAGCATGTGTGAATATGCTCAAGCTGAATGAGATTGGAGAGCTGTGACGGAGGGCAAGCTCTTCAACAAACACTTAAATGTGATTCTGCTCTGAGTTTGGAGTGAAGAGGAGAGTTGTGTCCCTTGAAAACAGACTGAGGTATGATGATGATAGGAAGATCTGAGAGTGGATTATGAGGATTTGGGAATACTTTACGTTTTTCCTCAAGCAGATATAGTTAAAAAATAATGGGATCTAAAATACATTTCATAAATAGCACTCACACATACTTTCATGCAGTAGTTTATTTTTCTTTGTGTAGTGGAAAGGACACACACACACACACAGACACACGCTTGAATACAGCACTCTCCTACTTCAGGAGGAAGGGTGGTAAGTGGGACATAGCTTTAGAGATCCAAGAGGTGTGTGTGTGTGTGTGTGTGTGTGTGTGTGTGTGTGTGTGTGTGTGTGTGTGTGTGTTTTAAGTGGGACAGAAGTGATGTACTCATGGGATCTGGGCTCTTTCTGCTCATAAGAAACTGCTGCCTCTGTGAACCGTAGACACACACACTTATCCATACACTCACTCAGAGTGACATAGTAAACCCTCAACCACTGCCCAGTAATCCAGATCTTTAGTGGTGTTTTCTGAGGCAAGCTCCACTAGTTACAATTTTTTAATGGAATATCGTAGTGTTTACTTTAAATGATTTATCAGTGCACATCATTATTGTTTTAATAATCTTGAATCAGAATAAGTTCCTCTTGCAGCATCTCTTCTCTTTTCTGATGACGAGGGCGGAGCTATAACCTGTCACTCACATGAGATCAGCCTATAGCAAACCACAACCATCCAATCAATTCCCCACAGACACAATCAAGCCCCGCCCACATATGTTCTCGTTCCAGAAGCGTTTCACTCAGATATACAGCACAACAGGGGAGAAAATACTAGTGTAACTTCAGTTTCATGATGACGTTAAAGTATTAAACTTTAGAGAGTAATTAACTTTGTGCTTGTTTGTGCTACAAACATAAAGGTGTCTGTTTACTCAGTACTAAGTACTCTGACATACAGTTTTCACCTTCCGCCAATAATAGACACGCACTGAAGGGGGAACTGGAGCTGGATTCAAGTGAATCAGAGAGATTAGCGCCAGTAAGGTGTTTTCACACTGGGCACGTTCACTGCCTTGGTCTGGTTCTCACTTGATTCTGTCGAACCCTGTTGCATTGCGTTCATCTTACGTCATCACAAACGTGCACAGCACTTGATAGTATCCCAGGTAAACCATCACCACTGTCATCCCTCTTTACATGTGTTTTGTTGAAATAATGATGTCGTCATTGGCTAAAACGCATGCACAGGTTATTTGACTTCCTGAACAAGTGCACACCAGAGTCTGTGTTGCTTTCACATTCACGTGAATCGCTCCACAGTTCGAGTGCAGCTGAACTCAGAGCAGATCCTTCAGTCTGGGGTTAAGTAGCTTCACTCCTGACTCAGCGTGACTGCTTAACACTTACAATTTTACATTCTAAATGTTAGAGCTGGGTGATAATATAGTCTACATTTTGTGACAGTACAAGCAACAAGCAGTTGAGAGATGACAGAATATGTCTCTTGTCTCGCTCTCACTCATCTCTCTGGTTCTGCTTTTTCAGTTTGTTCAGAATTTGACTAGTAAATGATCTGCACAGCGAGGCGGACTCAGACGCAGCTCATCTACCCTTCTGCTGGTTTCATTGATACGCCTCAAAGCTGTCACTCAATAACACATGCTCACATACAGCTGTAATGAAGAGCTCTATAGATCATCAGATCTGTGGAAGTGAAGTGACTCTAGCAGGAAGGTTTCACACGAGTGCTTTTAGTTCATGTGAAGTCTGGGACGATTTGCTGCTGATATGAAGGCAGTTGAAATGAACAGCTCTTGATACTAATGAGCTTCAAGCTGACAGATTTAAATTGATCTAATTTCCGTTAATCTCGCTTGTTATAGGGCTTTAGAACGATTAAGAGGCGTTTGCACCGGGTAGTTATAGGAACTCAGTTATAGGAACCAGGGTTGTTCCCCAAGACGTAAATGTTCCCATAGGGCTATTTTTTTTATTGGATGAAGCTAGAGCCAATAGCGAAAGCCTTTGCACTTGGTGACCCCGCCCCCTTTGTGAGGCTCTGCCCCCTTCTGGAGTTCACGCCCCCTTCTGGAGATCCCCGTTCTGCAGTTGTACCTTCTTGCCTGTGTCCTGCTGACTGATTTGGCCACTGCTCCATTACTTTCATTTATTTATTTAGTTATTTTAGATAATAAATCATTTATTTATATTCACAGAGATAATAACGTTGTCATATAATTGTTTTAAATAATACAATTTTGTTAAATTTTCACCACAGCGAAATTTTAAACTTAAATTTTTTAATAGGTTTGATAACATATGCTTGCACAAAATATTAGCCATATTGAGGAAACAGCAGAAGCATGTGAGGAAACGGTTTAAACAGCTTAATGTCAAACTGGTAATAAATACAAACTATGGTGTACGTGTGACTCTTTTACAGATGTTTTCATCATACTGTTTTTATTTTAACTGCTGACTGAGAATTGTTGTCTTTAAACCACTGGATGATATTCCTCCTCTCTCTTCTGATGCTGAGTTAAAGTTGGCTTTAAAGTTTTGCAGTATTGAATTCATTTGGAGACACTGGCATCAGAGACACAATCTTCCAGTGGGAATGTTCTCATGGTTCCCGTTGTCATCGGATGTGACTTCTCCGTCAGACGTCTTCCTACACACAGGACTTCAGATTCAGATCATGTGACCACGCGTATGAATGAGGCCTTTCAGAAAGTATCGCACACACACTATTACAAATGAGCTTCATATACAGATGTGTTTTGTCTAGACGGACAGACAGTACAGTCATCATACATATAATGTCACACATTTACACACATTAAAAGAGTTAAAAAATCTAAAAGCCTCTTTTAACTCTATACACACACACACGTGCTATCATGCCTCCACCATTACATTCCTAGGATGTTTAATTCAGTATAACGCCTATCCATCTCATAACACACACACACACAATGCAGTCTGTCATTACACTGGAGAATGACACAGTCAGACCTCAGCTGACCGATGTGTGTCTGGTCTCATACAGCCTCTCTCTCTCTCTCTCTCTCTCTCTCACACACACACACATACACACACTCTCTCTCTCTCTCTCTCTCTCTCTCTCTCTCTCTCTCTCACACACACACACACACACACGCACGCACGCACGCACACACACACACACACACACACACACACACACACACACACACACACACACACACACACACACACACACACACACACACACACACACACACACACACACACACACACACTCTCTCTCTGTCTCAGTTGAGAACCTGTCACTGTTGTGGCTCGTATGCTGTTGCTGGATGTTGTCTTTATCAAACAAAGCTATGCTTTGCCATAAAAATAGTTGCTCTGTAGGGCGTTCACACTTGTTCTGTGTAAAAGAACTGAACTCAAACCTCTTTCAGAGACCCGGAAGGTAATTGAGTGTAAAGAGATGGATCTGTTTGGTTCTCGCTGTTCCTGGAGTTCAGAAAAGCAGATTCAGATGTCTATGCTCTCCATTTAGTCCAGAATTCATGTAACAAATGTGATTCTTTAGGATAAACCCCTTGAGATGCATCATCTCGTTTTCAAGGGGGTCCTAATACACAAAAGTTAAATAACATAACACAAGACAAAACAATACAGACAAGACAAAACAAAAACAACAGTTGCCTAATTCAAAACAACAAACACACAACTTTTTGTCTATGAATTTTCGCCTAGCATTAATAAATATAATCATAGATATATCATCTAAAGCAATTACAAGTTTCAAAGCAACGAAACAAAACATTTTTAAACATATAAAAGGAAGTCAAAGATTGTACAT